ATCTTACTGCAGTGGACGCGAACTCCTGGTAAATCAGGCTCACATTACCACCCGGACAGTGATCTGTTCACTCCAAAAGAGAAAAATGATGTTGTAACTTCGACACTTTGTTGGTCAGCAATTGTTGCATTGCTTGTGGAAATGTCTTTTATCATGGGTCCTATTCAGGTGCTCAAGCTCTATGGGGTTCCCTATATGGTGGGTTCTGATATTTCAACTCTGAAATTTATTTGTTCTGTAAAAAAAAAAAAATGGAAGAAATGATTAGCTTATTGAATTAGTCATCATGATTTTCACACATTTATTTTGCTACTCAATTTTAGATTTTTGTCATGTGGTTGGACTTGGTGACTTATTTGCATCATCATGGCCATGAGGAAAAACTTCCTTGGTACCGCAGTGAGGTGTGTTATCAGCTTAACTATGCTCTTGTACACTAAAATTTTATGATTTTAGTAAAAAATTTGTTGCAAGAACAATTTTCGTATGTTTGATTCAGAAGTCTGATATAGTTGTCTGCCTGTTTTCATTACTAGGAGTGGAGTTACCTTAGAGGAGGGCTTACAACACTTGACCGTGATTATGGATTGTTAAACAACATCCACCATGACATCGGAACTCATGTTATTCATCATCTTTTCCCACAAATTCCACACTATCATCTAGTTGAAGCAGTGAGTATATTTATGTAACCAAGGAATGTCTATTAAGTACAAACTTATTTCTTCCCTGTTTTCTGACATTTAGTTTGAATCTGTTCCTGCAGACAAAAGAAGCAAAGCCAGTACTTGGGAAGTACTACCGCGAACCTAAGAAATCTGGACCTCTTCCCCTATACATATTCGGTATAATCTTAAACAGTCTTAAGAAAGATCATTATGTTAGTGACACCGGAGATGTCGTCTACTATCAAACAAACTCAAAAAATCACTAGTAACAAACAACTGCAGGCCAAAGATCAATTCCTCGAGATCATCCTTCCTGTGATGTCCGAGATATAAGCATGTTTAATGTTTTACTCTAGCTTATTTGGTAATTAGACTGTACGAGAATGTATCTCACATAATTAGCACGTACTCGTGTATCACATACACTAGTAATTGTTCCTCATTAGCAAATCTGTCTGTTGGTAGTTGCCTAATTTAATCCGCGAACAGACCTTTTCATTCAAGTTTATATAATTCAATTCTGATGCAAACTAGTGGCGGATCTTGGCTGAAAATATTAGAGGGGTCAAAATTTAAATATTTATCACTTGCTCAAAACTAATCACTATGCCCAATATTTTATAAGTAAATATAGATTATTCTAATCAATTAACTAATTAATTACAATAATTTATGAAGGGGCCTGACCTCGAATGACCCCGGTGGAAGGTCCCTCTGTAATCAACCAACTATTTCTGTTCCTACATAACTTTGTGCAGCATTTTGAGTTCTGCCACTAAGAACAAACTTTATGGTATACATCATAGAATTAGGTGAACTTCCATACATAAAGCATCTTAAATTATTGTATGAGATTCAATCTGTCCTACGTTAAAAAAATATTAACTACAGAGTTCAGAATTACTGATATTTTCTGACATGTTGTTGGTTGTGTACACTTGTACTGAATAAAATGTTGAAGGGCTAATTAGTGGACTGATGTTTCAAAGTGGTCCTAGCTAATGGCCCCATTAACCTGAACCACACCGTTGCTGGGTGGTGGTCCTAACTCTTAAATGGGCTCTTCTTTAGCTGTCTTGTATGTCGTTTACTCTACTTTTTTAATGTTCTATTCGTGTGTTCCAAATTTGAACTCATATTCAACTATTTGTGAATTGTGATCAAAGATGTGCACTCTCCACCACTTTTTGTGTATCAAATCAGTGTATTCTACACTAGTAAAATCTGTAAATATGGACTATAAACGTTTTTTCTTAGGAACAAAAAAATTAAAAATTGAGCCCAACCATATACATATGTTTGTGAAGTAGCGAGTAGAAAAGTCCCTTTACTTCCCCCCTTGTACTCCTAGGCGTTGACCTAAATAGCTGAGGTAGTTGATCTATAAGAAATTGAGAAGTGTTCTTAGTGAAAAATCTCTACAAATTTATTTTTTTGTAGATTACTCCCTACTTTCATACGATGTATAAGATTAAGATTAATTATTAGCCAGAGTCCAACAAATTTTACTATTATGAGTAGGTGAAAGATATTTATTTGGGTTAAGGACTTAAAGGTTAGATAAAGTTTGTTTGGCCAATTTAATTTTTATTTTCACTTTGGATACTTGAGATCTATAATATAATTCATTTTCACCAAATAAAACAAAACTATACTCCGCATTATAATTTCATTTTGGTAATGAAATTAATTCTAAACTTAATTTGACCTACTATACAATCCCAAATATAACGAAGTTACTAGACCAAATTGGCCTAATTCTACTATGCTCCCAAATATCACAAATATTTCAATAAATGTAGCAAATGACTTTTTTTTTTTCCTTTACCAACATTTATATGTATAAAAAAGTAAAATTACTTTGACATGTTACGGAGTAGCTCTTATGAAGCAATCTTTAAGAAACGGATGAACTAGTGAACAAATGTAATGTTTACGAGAAAATCCTATCTAAAGTTAATGTTCGGCTAAAAAGAAAAAACACTATAAAGCATAAATGGAGTGGGTGCTTTTATATTTTCAACCATATATATTATTGAAAAGCAGTAAGGTTTTGGACCTCTTGTGGAGTAGTAATTGCAAAAAGACTTTTTGAAATCTAGCTAAAGCTAGTGTATTGCCAAATAAAGAGAAAGATAGCATAGATTCACACTTTTGCTGTCATAATTTGCTTAATATTTGGGGCAGACACAATATGTATTATGTACTATGTCTGTTATTTTACACATGTTTATTTTATTCTATGAAATAAAGTAGCTAGGGTTCTAGATGAATGATTATGTGACTTATATTTGATTATTACACCTCCATATTCCTAAAAAGAAAAGGTAGTGGGCTAATTAGTTGATTGAGTTTTCAATCAATGCACATTAATCACATTGAGGGCAAGGCAATACTTGGTGCAAGCTAATCAATGTCATTTTGATGCGACTCTTAAAATTTTGAAATAGGTACAAGTCGCACAAGTGCACAACTGGTTTATTTTAGATCAAAATCTGGCCTAAAAGAAGTTCATTGTTCCTATAATCCTATGTACGAGTACTACACTCCAGTACTCCACGCAACTAATTTAATAACTTCATTGTACACGGAGTATTACTCCGTACTAATTAGTTGTAAAGATTTCGTATTTATGTGTATAATGAGTATTATACTCCACGCAACTGGTTTATTAACTTTATCGTACAGACTACATAGTAGTATTGATTTAGAGAAAAATTATTTTATATTGATGTGAACACATTTTTGACTTGGAGGAAACATTAAGGGTATGTTCTCATACGTTGAAATTCAGTTCAGTTCAGTTCAGCTCAGCTCAGCTCAGTTCAGTACTATATTCCACGCAACTGGTTTATTAATTTGGTATTGGGCGACCTTGGGCAACGGCTAAGAAGAATATTCCACTTAAGTACATTGACTAATTAACAAAAAATATTTCTCTTAAGATTGGACTAAACAAGGTATTGAGTCAATTCATCTTTGAAGCGGTATTATAGATGATATTGTATTGATGGATGAGACTAAATTACATTGAGGTTAATGCTAATTTAGACAATAGGGGCGACAATTAGATTGCAATTTTAACTCTAAGAGGAAGCCAAGAGAGTGTGTAGCAGAGCATTAAATGGTAAGAATCTTTTCCTCAAAAAAAAATAAAAAAAAAAAAATAAAAATGGCAAGAATCTACACAAAAGAGAGTGTTTTAAGTACATTGGGTCAATTTCTCAAAGATATGAAGATATTCACCAAAATATAACCCACAAAATTAAGTCCAAAATACAGGTGTTTGGGCATGTGACTATGTTAGAGCATCCGAGAGGATAATAGAGAGTGGGATCATGGAGATCTTACAAGTTACAATATGTTGAACGGTTGAAGGAGTTCGGAAATCACTTGGATATCTAGATCTAAGAATCACATCAAGAATTTGGGTTTATAGGTGCATGTAGCACTAGATAGAAAAGGAATAAAGAGATAGAAGTCACGAGTTCATGATCCACAATCAAAAGAGTTAAAATCTTAGTTCACGTATCCGATATTGATACTATAGTTGGTATTCAAAACGAGTCGAGCAATAGATTTCTCCGACTCAACTTGGATTGGTGCAACACCTACATAAGGGGATTGAGCTTTTTCGAGCTTAAAATTTAAATTCTTAAATCAAATTCAAAAATGAGCGAAAAGATTGGCTTTAATAACCCAAACATTGCTGGTTGGATGATTTTGTGTGAAAATTTTGAGTAGTACCCGTAAGGTAAAATAGGCTCAATCTAAGGAGAAAGCATGCACATGATAGTCTTTCGTTGCCTCCTAAAAGGGCTGTTGCAGTTGAAAGTTCGGCAAGTTTTCCTTCCATCTGCTATTTTTTTGCTTTTCGTTTGGCTTTTGCTAACACAAACTTTACAACAATTTTAGTTGGAACAATTTATTTACTAGTATTTTGATACTTAAAAACTAATTCATCCAGATTACATAATAAATCATTGTAAAGAATGTGAACTAGCCTCATGTAATGTTTTGCATTAAGCGAATAAGTGAAGTCGTGAAGGTTCACCACAATCTTATTTTCACTACAACCTTCCAAAGTCCAAGTCATATTACGATCTGCTATGTGTTCAGTAGCGTGATCATAAACGCAGGAAACTTAGCTGTGCTGTTTTAGAATCTCTCACTCTATCCTTCATCTTCACTCGCTCCTTCCATATCAGCACCCCATCGGCAACATCCCCTAGATATTACAAGCAAAGTTCGAAAAACATTTCCCTAGCAATCACACTAGTTATGGGGCATATGAACTGCAGGTAAGAAATTTTCATCTTAAGGAGAGGAATATACGATAAAACAGGAAGGTTCAAATCATTGTTCCAACAGACTAGACAGACAGCTCCTTCGTCTTAATTATACAAACACCACTCTTACAAGATACCTATTAACCCCAACCTTTTCCCTTGACAAATTTTGAACCTAGGATCACCTTCAAATGAGTGCTCTACCAATTTAGACACTAAGTAAACTAATTCTCATATGGCTCTACATGAAATCTAGTAAAAGTTTCAATACATTAACAACTTGATGTATTTCTATACATTTCTTCAATGACAGGGTTTAGAAAGGTCAAGATGTATCCAATAATCCCTGTTAAATGTGAAGGGAGGTTGACAACAAAAGAAAAAGGAAACTATTTTGGATGAAAATAGACCTAACACTAAAATCAGTACTGCACAGATTTTACTGCATTCATGAAAGCAAATATCCGTGACTCGTCCTTCTTGATGCCATCTGCAGCACAAATACCGCTACTAACATCAATTCCATTCGGGCGAAGGGTAAGAAGAGCATCCTGAGCATTTTCGGGTTTGATTCCTCCAGCCAATAGCCAACCATGTTTGCTTTTTATTGATGGTAATTTAAACTGCGTCCAATCGAATCCTTTTCCGCTGGGGAAAAAAAAAAGAAAAAAAAGAAAATTGCAATAGTAAAACAAGCCACAACTGTTAGGACTGGGGTTTGAGAGAACATAGGCAAATAAGGACACCTTTCCAGGCCAACAACAAAAAGAAAAAAATTTGGATGACTGCAGTAATTGGAGGTTTTGGAGCAGGATTAAGAGCTGGTTATAATATACGAAGTATGAGGTTGCGTATAATTTCATCACTGGCAAGGTAAAAGTTGACATGCCAAGTTATAAAATGCATTTATCAGTAAATAGTGTGTCCATCTGTCATAAAACTAGTGGAGTGGATGATGAAAAGAAGAAGCATCTGTAGAAAATAAGGGATCCGAGCAAAAGATCAAACCGTTTAGAAACTCAAGCTACCTCCCATAATTCTATTGGAAAAAAGGTCTTGTAAATTGCCCTTGTGACCTCACCAGTAAGGCCCTTTTGGAATCCAAAGGGCGTCACTAATAGTCGATTCCTTTGATGCTAGATCAACAAAGATAAATCCAAAAATTCCGTCCTCAACCTTACCTAGCCTTATAAAGTGAACTAGAGGATGATTAAAACTTGCCCTCTTAATCAATGACAGCGGTTGTCAGATCAAGGAGGACAACAAGCCAACAATTATATAAATTCACTCGTAAATGTGTCAATATAATGCTGGCTAATGCCATTCTATAAGCTGAAGAATACACAAGGTAAATAAAGACATACCTTCCTCCAGTTGCACTATCTACAAGAATCCAATCTACTAAAGAACATTCTTCTTGAGAAATATCATTCAGGAGCACCCCATCTTTATCAGCGTGAAGAACATAAATAACTCGATTCTCCTTTACCAACTGTGGGAAAGTACTCCGTGAACCATTCCCATGAAGCTGCATAACTTTAAAGTTGCACAAATTAGAAGGTTTAAAAGCTATGGGCAAAGAAATTCATGTTTTTAAATGTATATACCTGGACATATTCTATGTTTGATGCAGCAGCAGCTTTTAAAATAGTGTCAGCATCATCATCAACAAATACCCCCACTGGCTCAGCTCCATACTTCCTAGCAACCTCTGAAATCTCCTTGGCAGTTGCAAGTGAAACAGAACGTTTAGATTTTGGCCATATGATCATCCCAATAAAATCAGCACCAGCTTCAGCTGCAATTGCAGCATCTCTAGCAGACGTGATCCCACACATCTTGACAAGAGGTTGGTCTTTTCCATACTTCGTACATGTAGGAGGTACCTTCAACGTCTCAGATGATGCTTGAACTCTTGTATTCCTCAACTGAAACCTTGATATATATTGTTGTCTCTTAAGCATGCCTGCAAGTAATGAAATAGAAAGGATATGAAGTAATCATCCAACTTTCAGGTGATGCATCATTTAAAGATCTGCCATCTGATAAAGAAATGAGCTATAATTTCCGCATTATGCTCTTTATAGTTCAAAAGACCAGAGTACATTACAAAAGTATTAAAATTACCAGTTACACAAAACACAAGGTTGCATGATAGACAAGTGACAAGTCAAGTAATTTAATAAATCCTCCCAATCCATGATTTCATATATATACAGTTATATGAAATCTTCATATGTTAACAAGTTGGTGGCAAATGCATCTCACTCATGCTAACCAACCTCCTATTTGGTAGGATGTTGTTACAAGACTGAATAGAACATTGAAATGTAACAGAAAGCTTGAGACATGACTGTATAACTTCTAAAACTAAGGTTACATCACCTATTCCAAATAAAATAATTGAAAAACTACCACTAGTAGTTGATAAACAACATAGCTAGATTAGCTACAGTCATCCTAAGCAAAGCTGGCACTTTTTATAAGTATATGAAAAATATATTACTATTACCAGCAAATAGCCTGTTAGAGGTATTAGCAATTCCAAGATGACTATGAACTTCCATGATGAAACCTGAAATGGAATAACATAAAAAAGATTCAATACCAGAAAGAACATACAATTGAAATGTAAGGCACAACCAGGCCAGATTAATAATTTACTAGTCAGCAAAGTCTACTTTAAAACATTTGTGCCAGTAGACTCTGACTATAACAAAGTTGATTAGCTTAAAATGGTATCTTCTTTGAATGGCCTAAGTTGACAGTAAAAGTCAAGTACAGCCGTATAGGTCATGAAAATTTGATTATCCTGTCCTGAAGACATGTCCAAATTGGTATAAAAACAAAAAAACAAAAAATGAACAAACAATTAATAAAAGTATTTGACTATATATCCAGCCCACATAATATATGCAACTAATAAATTGCAATCACCTCTTACCACACTGATATTTAGTTTCAATTATCGCTCATCCCATCTCAAAATATACGGAGCAGGCTACATATGGTTTTAATCATCAGAGATCAAACCTTGCTAAATTTGATCATTGCTATTGATCATACCTAAAAGTACAACGTATAAAGTGTTTTGTCTTCAGAAAAAATTGTTAAGATGAATCTAACAACATTGTTCAATATAATGTCGAAGTAACTGATAATCAAAGTCAACAAGGCATAACACCTATACAGACTTCAATTATATAAACTCCCTCCATCCCTAAGAGATTGCCTCAAACCTCAATTTCACTTTTTTAATTAAGACATAAGTGCAAAATTGTGCCCAATTAATTGTCATATTGACGAGGAGAGATAAAGAGTGCAGGTAAGATTGCAACTTGCAAGTGGAAAAACATACCAAAAAAAGTATGGAGCTATCTTTTAGGGAGATTCATTTTCAGTATATGGGCAATTTTATAGGGATGAAAAGAGTAAATAAATCACATAATCTTTAATATCTACTTGAAATGGAGGATCAGAGTAACCACTTAGAATTTAATATAAAAAGATAAAATAAATAAGTAAAATAAATTTCCTTCATCAGCTTTCTCATTCTTATTTCCAACCCTCTAGATTCATTACATCATTCACCTCTTTGGTAAGTGATATAAATAGTAGTAATGGATTTGCATATACTTTTTTTAAACAATAACAGAAGAGCTTATATTACAACTAGATTAAAAACATATAGGAAGAGCATTGTTTGTGGACAAAAGATGGCTGCCATGGCACACGTAGCAGTGAAAAATACTGCCATGGCACACGTAGCAGTGAAAAATGCTGCCATGGAACCTACTAAAACCAAAATGGACATAAAGAAAATAGCTGAAATAAAATTAGTGCGCGTAGATAGTAGTGTTGGATCAGATCGGCTGCTTGCCAACTGCATTGCCATGGATTTGCATATACATTTTTAAGAAAAATCAATTTTTATTCTCATGGTAACGCACTAACGCTACTTTACCCCAAATTATCCTTATCTTCCATAACCATTTGGGGAGATATTGGGTAATAATGAAAATCCATACTATATACTCAGTGGCGGATCCAGGATTTAGTTAATAGGTTGTCCCATTCCCATCGTTCATTGACCGCATACAATATGTCAAAAAATAGTCAAATCTTGAATAATGAACAAAAAAAAAATACTTAATCGACGTTTTTTCGACCCAAAAAGTGTTTGATGAAACAAATGATCTTGAAATATCTCGAGTAGTTTTTCTTTTTATTCTAAAATTGAAGTTAAAGGTTGAATTAGATAAATCAATTTAAATAATTCTTGCTAGTTATAAATATTAAAGTATAGAACCGTATAAATAAAATAAATAAACTACAATTCACAAATCTGAATTGACCAATAATTTCAATGAAAATTGCAACTTTAATTCCCATTTCACGAATAACAACTCATACAATTAAAACAGTAAAAAATCCATAAACCCTAAAACAAATAATCAATCCAAACTTCTAAAGAGTAAAGACTCAAACAAAACCTTCAAATAATCATTTATAAACTGAATAAGAATAACAATATAAAGCTTTAAAACAATTAGCATAAAAAATTACTTAGGAAGAACTCAAGAACAATCACAAAAATACCCAAATTTGAATTTAAGAAATTAGAGATTTAAGGTTACTACATTACCAGATTTATTAGTTTATAGAGTGGGCGGAGCCGCAGAGGTCGCCAGCCGGCGGTGGGTGGTTTTCAATCAGCGATCGTCGTTTCTTTATTGGGTAACAGCGTGAGTGGCTGCAAAATTTTGTTATTCAAAATGTTTTTCAAGGAGAGAGAAAATGCCTGACAAATTTTGTAAAAAAAAAAAATGTGACAAATTGTGTAAAAAAAAATGCCTGACAAAGTTTACTTTTAAACTACATTTTTTTTTTTTTATTTTACTTGCTGCTTTTTTTACTTCACCTTTTTATTTTATCACGCTTGTCAACGTAAACTTTAACGATTTAATTCTCAATAAGTAAAAATTGTAAAATTTACTTATTATGATAGTATTTATTGAGACGAATTCAAAAAGATCTTACATAAACATTTTTTCCTTGCATACTATTCACAAAAGATGGTCAAAGGAGCGATGATGAATAGTGTAAAAGTCAAAACGGGTCAAGTAAAAAGGAATGGAGGAAGTATATTTTTTGTTAGTTTCACGTAATTTAGGGAGTAGTAAGAGCAATTACAATGGTTGGCTAATTTATTTAATAGCTTGACACGCCACATCATCTTCTTAAGGTACAACAATTCAAGTTATTTATTGCTCCAATGGTTAAGCTAGTTGTAAATTAATTTATTTTTAAATTAATAATATTTTTTATCTAACAAATATTTGACAAGCTAATTAGCTCTACAAAGCTAATTTGCTTGCCAAAGCTAATCATCAAGATGTGCAACAATAGTGTAGCTACTAACTTAAGATTTTTAATATTTGCAAGCTATTCCTTTTTCCCAAATATTGGAGTTGCTCTAAAACCAATTCACTTTTGTTAGACTTGTCACCAATCACCATTAGCAAATTTATAATTTTTTTACAAAATTAATACGGTGTCCTAGGACCCACAATAACTACAAGTGGGTCTGTCACTGTATATACTAAAATAATCACCGGATGAGACACTTGGCATAATTTTGTGAAAAAATTTCCCTTTGAAATGCTATTTTCTTACAAAAAAAAATCTATTTTAAAAAATGAAATTCTTTTATTAAATTTTATTTATATATATTTGTAACACATAAGAATTTAAAGGATAGACATTAATAAATTTACATTTAAAAAAAAAAAAAAAGTGTTAAATGAATCATTTTATTTCAATTAACTCTATTTCAATTGACTATTATTAATAATAAATCATACTTTATAAATTCATGCATTGCACCGGCCAAAACTAATTTATGAAAAAAGACACATGTTTGGAGAAGAAATTACACTACTAAAAACATTCGGAAGTCACTTTACTTAATAAGTTACACTTATATACAATCCCCCATAATCGCTATTCATATCTGGCTTCCAAATGGGTTGTATGTGTTTTCTATAATCCTCTAAAGTGAATAATCAGACATTTGAATGCTATAAAAACTATCTGACTGATCTGAGTCTCAAGAATACGAGATGGAAGAACAAAATCTCAACCCAATAACGGGACATATTTTATCACATAGCAGATACTTGCAGAGTTGCACTACACTTAATCAAAATAAATAAAAAAATCAATTGAAACTAGAATAAATACTTAACATTTTGAAGCTAAAACCTAAAAATGCAAAATCAAATGTATAGACTTGATTATTGAGCAGGGCGAGTCACTAGCGGGTCGGGAGAAATATTAAGTGGGCCAAGGTTAGACCAGGGCCAATGCACGTCAAGTCAGGCTAGAGCCGGGTGCAAAATAAAGCAGGTCATTAATGGACCTTAACTATTTCATTTCAAAACCAATGAAAAGTAAAGCGGATCATTAACGAGCAAGCCCTCTACTGATAATTTCCCATGAAAGGAAGAGTATTACATTGTTAGTTTTTGCTTTTTGCCCTGCCTTTTGCACTTAGACATCACTTTCCCAAAAAAACATAAGCAATAAGAAATCACTAGTCAAGACGATGAATTAAGTTTGTACATGTAATAGAGTGAATAAAAGTTTGCCATCCATCAGCAAACATGGTTTGGCCTTACAAATATACATAAAATGAAATCAAGATATCAATGACATAAAACAAGTAAATATCCAGTGATCTTTAATCAATCATAATTGCGAGTTGTTATTATAATTAATAAAAGGGTTTAAACATAATCCCAATTATACATAAATGGTTTCCAGTTCAACATTAGGCTCAAATTTGGCAAATGTACAATTAAAAAATTAGCAGTGTGTGCAATGAATTTCAATACATACCCAACAAAGATTACAACTTTATCATCACAATTCATTAAGAGTCAAACTAATGCAGAATGCTCCAATCAATGATTAGATTCATAAACCTTAATCAACCTCATTATTTATAGATTCAAAGATATCCAAAATCCAAATTGTCCCAACCTATAATCAGGGGCGGAGCCAAGGGGGGCTGGCGGGGGCCTTGGCCTCCCCCTTGGCTCAAGATATTAATTAAATTTGTTCTTCATTGTTAATAATTTTGGTGTAGAGGAGTTGCTTTTTTCATGTGATGACATGCAAGTTGTCAAGGGATCAAATCTTGTAGCTAACAAATTTGTTTTTTTTTTTAAAGTAATGTAATAATGTAATACGTAAGTATAATCTTGGCCCCCCTTACTTAAAAATTTTGGCTCCGCCACTGCCTATAATGACCTGATTCATACCCAACTTGATTATTAAGTCTTGTCTAAAACACTTTTGCTTAGCCTGGATTTCCAAAGCATTTTATTATTGGAATACTAGTCTTTGTTTATGGTTTATAAAATTACACTTGTGATTATGTCACTTGATATCTTAATTGTGGTTCGTCTTAATTGTGGTTCTTACAAACATAATAAACTTCATACTCCAATTTCCAACTATGACTAGTGACTATTCTCAAAAGTTTGCTACTCCTAATAGCTAGCCCTAAACATTTCCGGAAGGCTATAGATCACATCATAAACATAATCCATTTCATAATCTTACAAAATTAAAAGGCACTACATTATTTCTAGGAACTAATCATTTGAAAATTTACTTAATTATAGTCTAATAGAGTAGTATCTATGAAACTCGAAACAAAAACAAAATCCAAAATTGTGTTCCCATGTGGGCGGCTATAAAGTAGAACCAGCTCATTCCATTATCTAACTATAATTGAATTTTGGTAGGACTATAACAGAAAAGAATTACTTTTTGGGTCCCACGCGCCATTTGTTGCAAGTGACAGCCTTTTTCATTTACTTTCCTTTCATTCTCCAGCATAGACCCCACTATTATTAGAAAATTTTGACTCTGGGTCCCACTTAGATTGTATTGCTAGTACAATAATGTTTGATTATTTTGCATCATTTGGTCATGCAAATGAAATTTGTACATGAATCAATTCAACAAACACATCTTTTATTTATTTATTTATTTATAACAGAATTATAAAGAATAAAAAAAAAAGGGGTAAGAATTCAACAAAATACAGCCCATCATTTGGTTTTCCTTACCCTGTTTTTATGTGGACAACAATTATGTGACTTTTTCCCCTTTATGAAGACTTTCAATAATTAGAGACCCTCATTTTATGCAGTAAAGTCAATTATGTCATTAATAATTTGGTTTTGGTCTACGAATTTGTGGAATGTGTTGGATTTTAGCTTAATGGACAACAAAACAAGATTAGGAAATGATGAGGATCATCAATGTGTCCATGGGGATGTTAACAAAATATAAATTTTTATACTCGAGTAACATAACTACTATCGTCAACTTATCATTTGCGTTTTGTCAAACTGATATCTAACGAAGTTAGTAATATGCAACTTTAAATTAAACTATGCTTTCGTGAAAATTATCTATTGATTATCATGTGTGTTCCATTGATCAAAGAATATTAATGGATTTAAGAATGATATAGAACTTTTAGGATATGGAAGATACTAGTATGCATTAAACTATCAAGATTCTAAATTTGAACCCACCTAAAACCATAAAGGGATGTAGTTCATAAGCTTTCATCATCTTTGCTTGTCAACCAATTCTTAGAAATTGCTTGGTGACATAATCAATAACTCCAAAAATGACTACATTTGACTTTCAAAAGAATAAAAAAAGGTAGTAACTTCATAAACAAGAGAACTTCTTGCTTATTGTATATATAACTGTTGATCAATGTGTTTATATAAGGTATAATGATAACAAGAGATAATTATACTGATAAAACACATTACTAACAAAAGATAAACAATCAAATTCTTTGAGAGAGGAAAGAATTGTCCTACAAACATATCAAATATCCTTATTCTAAAAGAAAAACAATGAAATGAATAGATTTTGATTAATACTACTATACAATCAGAGAAAATCCCTTAAAATTCTTTGAATGAATTTTGCTCCCCTAATCCTTAACATATACTATATATAACAATAAATTCAAATAATATAATTCAATAGTTTAGTTAGCATAGGCCTAAATCCTCCTTCAATTAACCAACTGCTCTTCTATGTACATTTGCTCCCATGGTAAACACATTTCCTGACCCTGAGCACCATTTCCTGCACCACTACGAACATAACTCTGCGACCTTGCTCCTAAAAACCCGGCACCAGCCTCGTCTTTCACAAGAGAATTCACCCAAGAAACATCCGGCTCATTGAAGCCGGGTGGGGAAGTTCTAGTGGCATTGGCATTGTTGTTGGCACCACGAAACCCAAATGAATTCGACTTCCTTAGCTTGTTCAACTCTTCTCCATGGATCCCCCAATCCAATGTTCCATTCGGCGAGCCCCAATTGGACATAGGGGTCGACATTGGACTTGACATGTTACCACCCATTGGTGATCCTGGTGCTGTCCTGTCTATGAAGCTCTGGCTTCGCTTAACAAAGGCTGCAGCTCGCGAGTTTAGCATTGCTGCAGCCATTGACTTAGGGGAGTCAAGAGCCCTTGGAGGTGATAACTTCCTTGGCGAGTTCAGTGGCGAATCTAACACGCTTGGGGGTGACATTTTCCTTGCTACATTGATCGAAGCAAAAGCTGATTCGAGATTAGTAGCCTGCACCATGTCATTAGCCCTGCCCATGTTGTTGTTGTTCCACCTAGGAGACGGCCTAGGTGAAAGAACTTGCTGATGCTGATGCTGATGTTGCTGGTGTTGTTGCTGCTGCTGGTATTGATGTTGTTGGTTCATGAGCTGCGACTCGATTTTAAT